CCCCCCCCCCCCCCCCCCCGCCCCACTCGCCCCAGGTAAACCCTACCTTGCCCAGTAACTGGGGAATTCCAAGCTGTTTCATTGCATAGGAATGAGGAAGGGAATTTGGAACTGAAAGTGAAAAAATGAATGTAAAAACAAAAACAATTATAAAGAACATTTTTTTTTTCAGATTTGGGAAAATTAAGCCATGTTGTATATACAGTTCAACTTTTAAGATGTCAGAAAATAATCAAGTTGATCATTTCTCAATATGTTTTGTGACCATGCTGATATTTCTTTCCCATACTAATTAAAGTCCTTTTACCTCTACTGAAATCAGCAGCATGGCAAAACTGTAACTTTACACAGTAACTTCAGGAAATAAAAATGTCTTCTTAAAAAAAAAGGAATGAGGAAGGGCCAATTGAGATAGATTGCTAGCAGTGTAAAAAAGGGGAAAAGTGAAACTTCAGAATTGGGAACTGAGGCAGTACACCTTCCCCAATTCCTAACCAGGTTCCGCCTACCCAGAAGAACTCTGTGTTCAAGCTCCAGAAACTCCTGGGTCCAGAAGCTAAGGACTTGCTTTGACAAACAAGGTGAGAGTCCATGTAGCTCTACAAGATTTCTTCCCTGTCTTTCCCATTATTAACACTCTTTCTCTTTATTCTGTATTGTTTGGCTTTTTTTTTCAGGCAATTGGGGTTAAGTGACTTGCCCAGGGTCACATAGCTAGTAGGTGTCAAGTATTTGGTCTGAAGTCGGATTTGAACTCAGGTCCTCCTGACTTCAGGGCCAGTGCTCTATCCACTGCGCCACCTAGCTGCCTCTCTGTATTCTATTTTCAAAAAGAGTTCTATTATCCTTTGACCTCAGTTTCTTCTCTTCTTCCCATCAGTTAATTCTGTTCCTTCACCTTCCCCTTTCCTATATCTTCCAGCTCAACTGTGTTCTTCCTTTCTGCCCCCTCCCAAGCTATTATCTTCCTTCCACTTCTCTCCTCTTCTCAATCAAATTTAATAAACATTTACTGAGCAATTCAACAAGCATTTACTGAAACCCTACCATGTGCCAGGCACTGTGCTAGGCATTGAGGCTGCAAAGACAAAAAACGGAACAGTCCTTGACCTTACATTCTACTGGTGAAAATAACATTAAGAATAAATACAAAGAAATTTCAGGGAAGAAGGCACTAACAACTAGGGTGAACAGGAAAGGGGGCCACTGAGCTGGGCTTTGAAGGAAGCTAGGCTGAGATGTGGGCAGCCAGGTGGCACAGTGAATAGAGTGCCAGGCCCAGAGTCAGGAAGACTCGTCTTCCTGAGTTCAAATCCAGCCTCAAGACGGTCACTAGCTGTGTGAGCCTGGGTAAGTCACTTCACCCTGTTTGGCTCAGTTTCCTCATCTGGAGCTGGAGATGACAATGGCAAACCACTCCAAAATTTCTGCTAAGAAGATTCCAAATGGGATCATGAAGAGTTGGACACAACTGAAAAAACAAGTTTGGAGTTCAGGAAAGAAGTGAGGGCTGGCTTCAGATTTGGGAATCATCTGAATAGAGATAATAAATGAACCTATGGTAGCTGATGAGATTGAAGTAAGGGGGATATAGAAAAAGAAGAGGGCATAGGACAGCCACAGGGGTACATCTAGGCAAAGGAGAAGGGACATAGATAATGATCCAGCAAAGGAAAATGAGGAACAATCACCTGGTCACAGGAGAACCAAGGAAACAAAAACCCAGGGAAGGGAGAATACTTATCAGCAATCACAACACTGCCAAACACTGGAAGGATAAGGACTGAAAAAAAAAATGGCCCTTGGATTTAGCAGTTAAGAGATTGTGGTCAACATGGAAAGACTTACATGATCTGATGAAGAATGAAGTAAAGTCAAAAAGCAATATACATAATGATTAAAACAATGCAAATGAAAAGAACTACAAAAAAATTAAAACTGAGTGTTGCAAAATTACAGAGAACAAGTCTGGCCCCAAAGAAAAGATATGACACATTCTTATTCCTTTGAAGATTCCTTTCCAGATCTGTGGAAGATCCACAGATGTAAAATATTGTATACATATATATTTTAGCCTTGTTTGAGTTTTTTTCTCTTCTTTCTTTTTCTTAAAAAAAAATGTTATTTGTTATGTAGAACGGCTGTCTGGGAGGGAGGGGGAAAATACTGGGAGAAATTCTGAGAATGTAAAAAACAAAAGATAGCAATAACATTTATTAACAAAAAAAAACTGGGGAAAAGAAAAGAATGCCAGCTCCTTTAGGGCAGGTATAGTTTGTACTTTTTTTTTTTGTTATCTCCAAGCTTAGCACAGCTCCTTACATAATAAACTCTTAATAAATGCTTTTTGATTGATTGAGGAAGAAAAATAGATTGTTGGCAACATTGGATTAAGGAGTTATATTCTTTATATCTATCCCCTCTTTTAAGTCTTCTGTTTAACTATCTTACCCACTCCACTATCTCTACTAGATTCTTCACTTTGATTCCCTATTTCCCCAGTTCCCCAGACTTCTCTCATCTTGTCTTCCCAGAATGTGGATCCGCCAGGACACACCAGTCTGGAAATCAGGGCACCCAGGATGATTACCCCACTACCAGGATCCAGACCCCTAAACCCACTGGACTGGACCGATCACCCCCATTCAGCACCACTATTGATCCATTCTCCCAGACCAACCAGTCAACAACAACCCAGCCCAGAGGAATGAGGAATAGATATCTCAATGATACCACCAGTGCCCCTCCAAAGAACAGCAGCATCAAAAACTTGAAGTGGGCAGCTAAAAAGGGAAAAATGGACCAGCAGGGTACCTCTGCCACCATACCTGTTCTGTGCCTACTTGGGGTTGTCTTTGTCCTTACTGGAGCTCTTGCTTATGTCTTGTGTCAGAAGCGATTAGCTGTAGAATGTCCAAATCAGCACCCCAAAGGTAAACATGGGATCCAGGTATTCTGGTCCCATAAATCTCAGTTGCATCAAGAAACAAGGGAATCTGCCCTTCTAGACTCAGCTCCCTTTCTAGCCCCTAGTCCTTCTTCTCAGAGGCTGCCTAGTATACTATAAAAAACACTGAATTTAGAGTTGGAGGACCTGGGTTAAGTCCTGGCTCTGCCATTATGTGACTTTGAGCTTCCATTTCCTCACTGTAAAATGAGGGCCTTGGACTAGATGACCTCTAAAGTCCTTTCTAGCTTATATGATGCTATGAAATAATTTCCCCTTTCTGGGCCTCATTCTCATCTGTACAACAAGGGATTTAAAGACCTTCCAAATCAAAATCTTATAATCTAAGTGGCAGAACCAGGAGCTGAAGTCAGGTTTTCTGACTCAGAGTACAGTGCTCTGTCCACAGTCTCCTATCAATCACTTTAAGAAAACTCAATTGAGATCATCCTTACTGGTTAAGAAGCACCTAAGCTAGTTAGTGACACAGTTAGGTCTTCTATGATTATGGTCCTCTGACTTTGAATTTATAGCTTTATCTTGAGTGGCACAACAATCACCACATTCTGAGTGCCTACTGTTTGCACAGCACTATTTGGGCCTCTGAGAATTCAAAGAAGCCATAAGACAAGTCTTTGATTTTGAGAGTCTTACTACCTGATTGAGCAAACAGGAGATATCCCTAAAAAAGATACTTAACAGTACAAGGATTAGCCAAGTGTCAAATGGTAGAGGTAGTCAACATAGCACAGAGGGGGCCAGTTGTGAAAGGCTCCACACATGACTTGAGAAGGGCTTTTGAGATGGCATAGGACTTAGATAAACAGAGAGTAGGCCCGGAAACATTCTAGGATGGAGGAATTATTTGAACAAAGACACAAGACATGTTCTAAGAGCCATTAATAGACTTTGCTAGAGCAGAGGAAAGGAGTGGTGGGAAATAAAGTTGGAGAAAGAGGCAAGGCCCAGATTGTATAGAGTTTTGTTGCTAGTTCCATAGCCTTCAGGAATACCCCTCGATACACATTGCCCACAACTCCCATTCTCTTCAGGGGTCCAGCCTCCTTTATCTCTCATCTTTTTAGATTTTGAGCTGATAATCCCTTGTGAGGCAGATCCGCCTGACTCTTGATATAAGCAATGCTTCAGCCATCTGTAAACAGCTAGGCTTTTCTCCCAAGGCAACTATTCTACAATAATATTTGCTTCTCCCATTGAATCTGAAGATCTGGTATTAATTTCATTAAATGTGATTGTTTTCTAATTTCTGAGTCTTTTCTGCAATCAATGTCTCCCAGGAATCCTCTTCTGTTTAACAATTCTGTCTTTCCTCAAGTACATCCCATCAATATCTCCCCCTATACTGCTCTACTCTCTAGGATGTATCTGACCCAAGTCAACTAATTTACTCTTCTTGCTCCCCATCTCAGTCCCAAGGTACTGCCCTGCTCCTTTTCATCCCTCACATGACTTTGAACTCCACTCTCCCACTATTCCCCCAGATCTTCTCCTTTTATGCCCTCCCTAATTAGATGCCCTTATCCCCTCCTACCTTATGATGCATGGAAAATATAGGCTTGCTTATTAAAACAGTCAGATCTTCTCTCCCATTTTGTGTGTCTGAGCTGGACCAAAGTGGCAAGAAGAACCCAAAGTATCATGGGAAAATGGAAATGTAGGGTGGAAGAAAGAAGTTGTATATTACAATCTCCAAGTCCTGGTTAAAGAGGTAATTTGTGGAGAGTTCTTGGGTGAAGCAACCTGTATCTTCTTTATTTCCCATGGATTTTCTGAATGGTGAAGTCTGGTGGGATACCACTTCCTTCTCCTCACTCTTCTCCTTACTTTGTCCAAGACAACAGAGGTATGGAAGAGGGGAAAGACAGGGCCTCTACTCTGCTTTAGGTCTCCAGCACTTGCTCACAGGTTCGTGCCAGCTCACTCAATTTCAATCGAGCATAATCTACTCTTTTCAGTGCCATCTGGCAGTCCTTTCTTGATGAGTAGCTGGAACCCTCATGAGGCTGGCCAGTTGCTACCTAAAAATGAACACACATGTCAGCTGGTTCTTATCTTCACCCTATTCCACACCCCACCACCTAATTCCCCTGAGGGATCCAGACATCTATCCAAACCCCACCAATATACTTCTTCAGGTCCCAGGTGTCCAGCTGCTTTCACTAATTTATTCAAAAAAATAATTATTAAGCATATGCTTAAAGCCCTATTCAAGATAATGGGAGTGATACAAAAATAAACATGTCACTATCTTTTTTTTTTTTAAATGAGGCAATTCGGGTTAAGCAACTTGCCCAGGGTCACACAGCTAGTAAGTATGAAGTGTCTGGTCTGAGACTGGATTTGAACTCAGTTCCTCCTGACTCCAGGGCTGGTGTTCTATTCACTGTACCACCTAGCTGTCCCAACAAGTCACTATTTTATGAAACTTATGGTTTAATAAATCTTTCCTTCTAGTTGCTTTCCAGCTTGTTTTAGGGTTATTGATTTTGAGATGGAAAGGAGGTCAGAGGTCTTGGCATCATAGATTTAAAGCTAGAAGGGTCATTAAAGGTATTGAGTCCAATCCCCTAATTTTACAATTAAGGAAAATAAAGTACAGCCCAATTACATGACCACACAAATAGGTAACTCTGAGGCAGTATTTGAAAACAGATCTTCCTGGCTCCCAATTTCAGTTGTGCTACATAATTCTGCACTTCCCCCTGTCAATACTGTCACTACAAACCATAACATTCAGGTATTTAGGGCTTTAAAGCAGACAGAGTTCTAGGGCTGAAGTCATAATGTGCACGTGTTTCTGGGATGCAGCCTGCCATACCATTCAGTTTCTTGGCATCTATCTATTCGGCTTTGGATTATCTGAGGGGAATGCCCAGCACTTGGGACTCTTTCTCCTATTGTTTTTCCACCATCGAGGTAACTGATGAGGGTGAAGACCTGAGTTGCTGAAGTTTTAAACACCGCCTTCTCTTGCCCGGTCCAACTACCCAAATCTATGCCTCAGATTTTAACTCCCAGGCCATCACCCCACCCCCTTGCCAGGCACTGACTCCTCCTGGGCACCCACCTGAGTCAAGTATCGGATCTGGGCTGACAGTTCGGCCTCCACGTGCTGCACGGAGGAGGTGAAGGCTGCCGCTTGGCGGTCCAGCAGCCGTTCGTTTGCCTTCTCCTTGGACAGCTCCAGGATCACATTTCCTACCCCCGCAGAGAGCCGAAATTTCGCTTGGGGGGGGCGGAGCTCCCAACATGACCCCTCCCCCTCCCCAAGCTAGGAGCTCCTCCCCCCAACTTCTGGCCCAGGCCAGGCGTCTGCGCCCCACCCCGCCCGCGAATAAGGGAAAGACAAGAGGCAAATTGGTTCGGCGCATGCGCGGCAAGCCAGGCCTCCTCTCTCCCAAACTGGACTCTCACCGGCGCTCTGCAGGATAGTCCCTATCTCCCGTTCGATATCTTCCAAGGCCCTCAGTCGCTCGTTCGCCAAGCTATGAGTCGCCATGAATGTAACGGGAATCCTTGCCGCGACTGTTTCCTAGCGGACCGCCGATCTGAGAAACCCGCAAGCCCTTCTCACTTCGGCCCGTCAGAAGCCGACCTACCGGCAGCAGACGCACTCCAACTCCCAGGAAGCTCCGCGCAGTCGGATGCCTTTCAGTTGGCTCCCGGTAGCCTACCGCTCCCAGGAAACACCGCGCAGCCTGACACTCCCCTCCACTCGGCGGCCAGCCGGCCCAAGCCTGCTTCTTGGTAGACTACAGCTCCCAAGAAGCCCCGCGCAGGTTGATCCTTCTCTGCCTCTGGTGGACTACAGCTCCCAAGTTGCTTAGGGCTGCACAAGACTGGAAATACAGTACGGTACTAGGGTAAGGTGGGGACTAATCCTCTAGGGTTAATCAAACCTGTCTTCCCTAGGAACCGTTCTATAAATTAAGCTACATTCCAGGCTGCTGGCCGGTTTTCTTTGTTATGGTAATTGATTGCCGGGTGTCTGTTTGCTTAGGACAGGCGTAGTGGTGAGGGTGGTTTGGAGAGATCTTCAGCTTCCAGCATCCCCAGGAAGCCACGAAGTGGGATTAGATCTTGGGCAACTAGGTGCAGTGCACTGGACCTGGAGTTCGGAAGACCAGAGTTCAGATGTGGCCTTAGACAATTCCTAGCTGTGTGAGTGTGGGCCAAGGCACTTAAATGCAGTGGCTCAGTTTTCTCATCTGTCAAATGGGAATAGCACCTATCTCCCAGGGTTGTTGTAAGGATCAGATAATTGTAAAGCGCTTAGCACATAGCAAGCAGTATATAAGTATTTGTTGTTCAGTCGTGTCAGACTCTTCGTGATCCCCATTTGGGGTTTTCTTGGCAAAGATACTGAAGTGATTTGCCATTTCTCCAGCTCAATTTTATGGAGGAGGAAACTGAGGCAAGCAGGGTTAAGCGACGTGTCCAGGAGCACACAGCTAGTAAATGTCCAAGGTCAGATTTACATTCAAGAGTCTTCCTGACTCCAGGCCCAATACCCTATCCATTGGGCAACCTAGCTGCACATATAAATGTTTGCTATTACTAATTATTAATGCCTGGACTGGAATCTTGCTTAGCCACTCACTATCTCCATGACATTAAGCAAGAAAGCTTCCCTCTGCAACATCTCTTCATCTTAGAAATGAGAAGAGTTGAACCTTTCAAACTAACTCCTATGATCTATGCCTCCCCAAGGCAGGTGGGGGATAGTCTTGGATAGCTGGTTTCTTCCCCCAGGAGTTTCATAGTGGATGAAGTCAGGGCTGTAGGACTAACATCAGGATAGACTTTGGAAACTAAGTGAAAAGGTAAGTTTGGCAAAAATTCAGCTGGGGTATTTAAGACCTCTTGAAAACAAGCTGTAAGTTCTCAAGATGTGTGGCTTTTTTTGGTTAAGGTAGCTTGCATACACAGTACTACATTTCCCCTTTTCAAAACACTCATCATCACTGAGTATCACAGGTCTGGTCCTGGACATATATTGTCTTTTTGCCTACTTGGAAGCCAGTGGTAAGACATTAATTATCTTCCCAGCACAGAAACTAGAAAAAGTAAAATTAGAGTTTTGTCAGTTTGTCACCAGCAAACAAAGAGAAGAAACAGGGATACTCTAGTACACTGGTCAGAGAACCCGTCAGAACCTCAGAGGTGGGAAGGACAAATAAATTCTAGCTATAGAAAGCTGTCTCCTTCAGAGGGAAGTGATGAAATTGAATTTCTTAACTTGGTGAGCTGAATGCTCAATTCTAAGGGATGAACAAACCCTACGTTGGAACTGCCCTCAGATTCAGAAGAATTTCAGTCTGCTACTTGTTTGCCTGTGTGACCCTTGGGGTTTCAACTGTCTGTACCTCCTTTCTTTGTCTCTCTTCCCTACTTCACAGGGCTGTTGTGCTCTCAAATTCTGATCATTTGGTCTTCTCAAGAACAAAAATAAAATGGTATTACTGCTACCTCTTCCCCACCCCCATAATTTTTTACTAACCCCCCCCAGGTCAGAGAAAACACACACACTTTCAGCTTTAAAAAATTATTCTCCTTTTTGCTTAGATCCGTAACAATTCCCCTGCCTCCCAGGGGACCATTTTCCTCCCCCTTATTAATAAAGCGGTCTTACAATCCAGAAGGGGATCTATAGAGGCAGTGACAGGTATATGTGTGGAAGGTGAGGGTTCTCTTTCTTCCCAATTACTCCTCACTCCCCCCCCCAAAAAAAAACCAACCCCAAATACAGGTACAAACACAGCCTGTTGCTATATGGGGCCACTGCAGCTTAAAATTAATGCCCAGCTTCAATCAAAAATTGTGTACAGTGCTTTTATGCCTGGGGGAACATATGGAACCCTAATTAGAATAGGGAGCATGGTCTTGCTCTTATTTCCCCCCACCACTTTTTTCTCCTCTTCCACTCTCCCTCCCTAGCAGAATTGGTTATCATAATCTTCATCCTTCATCCCTTTGAGCCGAAGCCTGGCGAAGTCCTCAAACACAATGTCATCATCTGTGCCATAGCTGGGAAAGGAAGTGAGGGAGGGCATGAGATAGAGAGGCTCCAGATTTCCCCACCACCCCAACCAAAAGAGAAAGAAGCAAGAGTGCTGGTGCTACAGATGACACGGAGATTTAGCAGTGACAGGGTTGAGCTGCTGGGCAGCCTCTTCACTAAGCCAGGTTTGTTGAGGCCTCATCCCTCCGAATCTTCTTCTCCCTTTACCCCCACCCATTATTAGAGAGGGCAGGGAATTGATGCTGTAGCAGGGTAGAGGAAAGTAGACTTAAAGCAAAAAGGAGTCCTCTTCCTTTTCCATGGAGGTAGGGGGAGGAGGGGTAAAGGCAGAGGTCTTCCTTACTTGGTCTCAAATTCGATGAGATTGGTGTCCACTGGATCATTTATCTCAGGGGCAGCTGAAAGAAAATGAAGGGGATGAACAGTTAGTTGGTGGTTGAAGAATAAAAAGAGAAGAATAAATTTCTCTTTATAGCCCTTTCCTATTCTGTTCTTTTAACAGATTCCTGGAAGTGGTTGAGCAGGTGAAAGAGTCTCACCTGATTGAGGTTTGGAGTGGGTGGAGTGGTCATGAGGCTTGGGGTGCATTAGGACAAAGGGGAGCTCCACTGAAACATCCCTAGAGAAAGAAACACTATGAGGGTAAAAGACAGGTAGCTCTAGACGCTGGGAAAAAGAAATAAAATAGAAGACTAGTACTCACCCTCCCCGAGACACAACCAGCTTCACTTTGACCCTATAGGACACAAGGATGCCTAGTACCTCCTTGTTCGCACCTTCCTTCACTCTGCAAGGAGGAAGATGTTTAGTCTAGGGCTAAGAACTAGAGCATGGATAAACACCAACCTGGTGGACTGGTCCCTGCCCCACCCCACTTCAGACCCCTAACTCTCCTATAAGCTCCAGGAGGGCCTAATGCAGACTATAAGGAAAGCTTCCAGTGGATTTGGGGGCTTGAGTTAACCACATATAATACGTGGAGCTAGAAGGATCTTCCATCTAATTCAGCCCTCTAGTGTGACAGGGCAGAGCACTGAGGTCAAGAAAACAGGGAGTCAACAGGAAGTGGGGGTCAGTTATGGTTCTTCGATTTACTCATCTACAACCCTGGGCACATGGCTTCACTTCCTAGGGGCTGAAATTTCTAAGGTCCCTTCCAGCCATAAATTCTGACTTATGAAATTACTTCCCCAAATTGACAAAGCTTGGATTAGAACTCAAGTGTCCAAATTTTCACTCTAAAAAACTTTTCACTGAATCACAGCAGCTTCTACCAAGAGGCTAATAGGAAATGTAGCCTCCACTCTGTTCGAAAGCAGGCTGAAGGCAAGAAAAATGAGAAAGAGGTGGGAAATAAGGAGGGGAAAAAAACAAGATATGAACTAGCTAAGAATATATAACAGGCGTTAACACAAACAGGATTCCCCCTGCCCACTTGCATAGTACTGGAGGCCAGATTGGTATCTTCATGTTTGAGCTTCCCATCCAAGGCAAGTCCTCGTTTCTCCCTATTTTCACTGAGCAATGGGGTTATATTATACACCTTACAGAATGTGGAACTGGGAGACACCTGGTCACTGAAAAGAAAAGGAGTGGTCATTTAGTAAAGGATGTTGGGGCTGGAGGGGAGAGCACAGCTTGACTCCAACTCTCAGAGTCCCAAACTGCCACTAAAATTTACTTATCTGACACTAGTCACCATTCTCTAATGGGTAGTATTTACAATGGAACAAGGTATTTGCTCTAAGGAAAAACTTTCTAGAAATTAGGGCAGTTACCTTGTGAGCTCTCCATCATTGAAAGTATTCAAAGCAGAGGCTGGATGAGACTCAAGATTATATCATTCCTTGCCCCTTTCTAGGTATAAACTAATCCTGCCCTCTCCCCTTCCCCCCAGCCTGGAGAATTCTTTCTTGGTCCTTGTCATCTTTCCTTCCCCCCCCCCCAAGAAATGGGCCACTAAGGAGGGCCCCATTACTCACTCTTGTTCTATCAGAGCCACTGGACATTTATATTGGGCAGTGCTGAAGAGGCAGATATCAGCATACTGTCTCACTGTGGTGGAGAAAAGGTGAATCACCAGCAGGAAGCACCAGGCAAAGAATGGGAATGAGGGACAAGAAAAGAAGTTGGGTCACAGCATCCTCAAAAGATGGGGAGACAGCTTGTAATCTCCCACTCTCACAGCCCTCCCTCTACCCCTCCCCATTCCAGATCCATCCTTTATCCATGTCTCCCAAATTCCTTGCCTCTATGATCCATCACCCTCATAACAGGGGTCCCCAGCCCAGTCGGCCCTCTCTTAAAGTTCTCCCACATTCTGGTCGACTCCTACCAAGACACATGAATCCCCTTATAGCCTCAACGTTCTCTAGTTTGTCCCAGTCAGGGTCTTCCTCAAAATCTTTATTGGGCTCCCTCCAAATACCTCTTCTATAGTCACTGCCCTCCCATTCCAGCCACCCACAATTCCTATTCCATAGCCCTTATTCTTCACTTCATACCAGAAACTTTGATCTTCTTGACGGTCTTGGTGGAGTTGTTGGTGACGTGGACATTAACACTAAGTGGCTCCCCATGATAATACAGCTAGGCAATAGGAAGGGGAGAGGAACCCATCAGTTTGTCTCATCACCTGTCAAACTCTACAAATCACTGTTCTGCACTGTTTTTGATGGATGTGCTATTTTATCAAAAATGGGCAACTCCCTCCTTCGAAGATATAGAAAAAGACCCTCTCCATATTTTCTCAGTCTATGTACATCACACTATGTTCCCCTATTAGTCTAGCCCCATTTGTGGCAGGCGTTCAATCCAGGCCTTGTCCTTGAAATAATTATGATAGCTAGCATCTGTATACGGCCTACTATGTGCCAGGCACTGTGCTAAATGCTTTACAAATATTGTCTTCTTTTCCATCTTGTCATTTGTCCCCCTGCCCCCAAAAGTTCCCCGTTGGGAGTGTTAGGTCCCTTCATTATGATTAAGATCTCCCCTCTCCTCCTCACCTCTTTGTCCAGTGAGGCCTCAAGGTGCAAGGATCGGTCAGACATGAGGAAGTGTCGAGCAGTTTCAGCAGTGGGCTGGGGACCTGGTGTCTCTGGGGCAAACTGTACCTTCCTAATCACCAAGCGCACAGAATTCCTAGGCCAGGAAATTAGGGGGTGGGATAGGTGATACTGTTAGTAGTCAGTGAATTCCTCTGACTTTCCAAGATGCCATCTCTCCCC